TATACATACATATATATATATATATATATATATATATATATATATATATATATATAAATATATAATCTAATGTTTATTATCCTATCGCATATATTTTTTAATTATTTATATTAATATTATTGATACATTAGAAGAATATGAACATGATAATGATTTGCAAATGACAAATTAGGCAATGAAATTATAATGAATAAATTATTTTCTTGAAATTTCATCAATTTATTTAGTTGTATGTGTTTTTGATCTTTGTATTAGATTAAATGATTTAGGTAATTATTTGTCTATTTAGTGTCAAAGTTTAGGAATAGATATTGACATTAGTGATAAACTTAGAGGTGTTGAAAGATTGACGAATAATTTATAAGAGAATTATAGTGCTAACTATAGTAGAGAACATGGTTACTCTAAAACTCCCTAAACTCTTTAAGGGAGAAGAACTAATATTACAAAATCAAAAAAGATCAAAAGGACTCTCAAGCTCAAACTCATGTGTATCTAACCACTTCTTTCGAGTTTGGTGATTGCACTATAGGTATAGTGTGGCCCATTCTCGAATGATGGATGCAATACGCAATAATATTTTCTATCATGACGAAGATCGCGAGGTAAATATTAACGACTCTTGTATCAACGATAATTATCTAGCAAGTCTTTTGCGTGAGAGTATGGATCTTAGATAAAAGTGGATCGAGCATAACCTTCGGATCATTGAAAACTCTAGCATATCTTGACGATTGAACAATAGAAATGAAATAAAAATAAGAGATCATCCATAAAAAAAAAAAAGGATATCCCCTTCAATCTATTATTATCGGAATCGAAATGTCGAGAACGAAAATGATTAAATTTTTATAATTTTATTTCAAATTTTGTGATTATATCTTTACACATTTACACTCGTTAGGTCATTATAAACGGACATTATTTTTTTAAAATTTAAAAAATAAAATAATAAATTTTATTTTTATAAATGATTTTAAAAGAATATTAAAAATCCTCTTAAGTAATCCCGTGGTCTGGTGTTGTTGGATGAAACCGAAACCGAAACCGCTTTGTTGTTTCGTTAAAGAGTTTCTTCCCACACCGAAACCGAGGATTCCAAATAATTGTCGTTTCATCCACCGTGGTCACGTGGCAAAAGAAAACCTGCATGTGCCACGCATGCCTGTTCTTGGGACTGCTGTCCATAAATGGCCACTTCAATGGGTGACCACACCATCCCATCTTCGTAAGCCCATAACCCCTGAAATGATGGCCGGGTGGTCGGTCACCCCTAACGTACAGCTCGGTTTGAAATCGAAAGGCGTCAACCATACCAAGTTAGAGATAACGGTATCGGTCGGTGTAGCACATACGCGTACTTCAAGGACTTCGCCCAACAGTTTACTTGCAAGTAAAACTGCTTGTTGCAAAGAGATTTGTACATGGCTCTCACTTGTCATTAAGATAGTGTGTGTGATGTACGTGAGTTCAAAGAATGCCTATTACTGTACTATTTGTCCTTGATTTTGGTTTGGTCAATTCATATATTTTTATCGATTTTTTGTTTTTGCTGTTTTACTATTTTGAATTCTATAGGTGACTAAGTGTCACTGGTGAGAGTACCAAAACTCTGCCAACCTTTTGGTTTTGTCTTCGACTTTGCTTTTGCTTCTTCCAGGAGTCGGGCAGTGGACAGAGCCTTGATGGTGTTCTTGAAGCGGTAGCAGCCCCACACACACACCGCCCATAATGGGGTACCGGAATGGACCACATCACGAGCGGTGGAATCTATTGGGCATTGCTCCGACCTCAGTAGCCCCATCTAATTCTAATTTTTTCTGTGAAATAAAAAAGAAAAATCTCATCGGTTTTCTTTTATAGATATTATAAAACAAAGATAAATCGATTGCATGAATCTTTTTATTGAATTCTGTTTAATTATATTAAAAATACAAATATGAAAATAAAAAAAGTGGTTCATATAACGTTAAAAGGACTTGGAAGGATACTTCCACCTCCATCTTCCTAGCTTCAAGCTTCAAGCTTCAAGCTTCAAGTACAGAAAAGGAATCTTCGCTCCTCCTCATACAAAGTATCGTCTGCTTTCTTGCAGGGTACGTACTCCCAGCTTAATGGAGGGGGGATGGGGCTGGGGCGGGGGGGCTCGTGTACTTTAAGAGGAGACCCGTAATGACGAGCGCCAACGCTGGCTCTGGCGGTGTTGGTGTCTTCCTCCCAACAGCACGGCGGGGCGGTGTCCAAAGACGCTTTCCCGTTCGGGGAGAGACGGGGCCCACCCGCGTCGTGCCGTGTCGCGCGACACTTTCCCTGCCTTCCATACTCTTATGTGTACCAACACATAGCTGTCGGCGCCACCCACGCCCCCGGGCCCCACTCGACGCCTCGACGTCGCTGCATGTCTCGTTGTCTTCATGCAGACTCTGGCTGTTGTTCGTATGCCATGGTGTGGTACGCAGCAGCTGAATCATTTGAAGGTGACAGACACATGCAGAATTTACCCGCTGTGAGTGCTGTTATGGTCCCCCAAGAGAACAGGCTGCTAAAGATGATGACTGATGTGGTTACGCCCTGCACTAGATGGTTCTGCTTGGTGTGGATCTGCATCACTCCGATGGCACCACTAGTTTTGTCATAGCAGTTGTGTATACGTTGAATGCCATCTCTGACTTGGAAGAATGGCCACAGCAAGCTGACCTTTGATGCCGTTGGGCTTAATGTATCAGTCGTGTGAGGGGAGAATGAAGAGGTTATTTACCTTCATATCTACATCCAGGTGCAGGTGCAGGTGCACTATCAGAACTGATATAGAAGCGGCCACAAAGCAAGCTGTTTCTTTGCTCTAATAAGCTTGGACATCATTGGAGCCATCGACCAAGTTCACTTCGCATGTGGTTATTTCGGATGCCTGTCCTTTCCCTTACCATCTTCCCGTCCTTCCTACCCACTTTGCTGGCCGATGAAGAAGACAAAGCTTTACATTCACGTATCATTTCTCAACTTGGCGTTCCTTTTTCAGTCATCTCATTTTTTTTTTCACTTGGACATGAATTTGATCTTTTACTGCAACATTTCAGGTTACAGCCAGTGAAAAGTTTAAGTTTACCATCCGCTGACAGATAAAGAGGGAAGGACAGTGAAGTGCAGAAGAAGAAGAAGAAGAAAGAAGAAGAAGGTTATTTGCTGCGTCCATGTTAATTTGGTTTGCTAGTACTACCACCCGCAGCGATTGGCTGTGCAGCACATCAAAACACGTGAGTCAAACCAGCTCCACAGGGACGAGAGCGAGGAGAGGAAGGAAAAATAAGCACAGCGGAAGGCGAAATAGAAGTTGGTCACATCATCTAGGGTTTAGAGAAGAGGGCGACGGTGATTCCATCCGTGGCCACCCACCCGCCCTTCCATGGGGAAAGAGAGATGATAAAGAAATGCAGATACTGCTGCTGTTTCCGCTGTGGCCAACTTGGTTGATGGGATGTCCTACACAATTTTACTGCTGGGAGATGCTCAGTTGATTGGCTGAGAGCCATTAAGATGACCCAAAAGTTAGGTCAGAGGCATGGGTCCAGAAATAAACAAAGAAATGGACAAGAAGGCTACTCATAGGCCAAGGACCATGGGAGATAAAAGGAGGAGAAAATAATAATAATAAATACTAACAAATTATATATGGATTCTCATCTTTGAGGAGTGTTTAGTGAACACATGCATTATTATAGTCTGTGGTTGGATGAACGGATCTCAATAAAGGGTGGATGGGAGTGCAAGCAGTGATTGGTTGGGTGACTCAATAGAAAATGAGAAAACTTAGGTAATAATATTTTAGTATTGTGGGCTTTTGATATGATAAAGCTAACAGCAGAATTAATTGAGGGTGTAGGAGAGAAGTAAACAACGAATCCAGTCCATGATAGCACTGGTCTCCAGTCTGTCTCTATAAAGGAACAGTGGGAAAGGAGGAACTCCCTTGCGTTGGTTTGGTGGCCTCAGAGAGAAAAGGAGCGGTGGAAAAAGATCGATAGGACTGGATTCCTAGATCCATCTCTTCTCTCGCTCCAAAGGGTGGGGGTGGGAAGGAAAGCAAAGGGAGAAAGGTCGCATCTTGGTCTCTTTAGCCGCTTCTTCCCTTGGGTTACACTCCTTTGGCTTTCCCTTCTCGGTCTCGGTCTCGGTCGCTCGAGGCTTCTTCTTCTAGGGTTTAAGCTGTATCCGACGGAGAATTGTGCTAAGGCTTTACGCTTGGTACTTTCTTGTGCTTCTTTCAACTTCAGATCTGTCTCCTAAAACTTCACCTTTGACCAAGAGTGTCTTCAGGGGTCAAGTTCGGATTTTGCGATCGAAGGGAAGGCTTTGGGGAGCTCCAGATGATGACAAGACCGTGGATGGATGTTCTTCCTGGGAAGGAGGCGGCGCCGCCGCACTCCTACTGCACCAACTGGTTCGTCGGCCAGCAAAGCAGCGAGGGCCGGAGCGCGAGCGGGAGTTGGTCTCAGGAGGAGAACAAATGGTTCGAGGACGCCCTGGCGAAGTTCGACGGGGACACCCCGGACCGATGGGCAAAGGTGGCGGCTTTGATCCCCGGGAAGACGGTGGGAGACGTGGTGAGCCATTACCGGGAATTGGTCGACGACGTGACCGAGATAGAAGCCGGGCGGATCCCCTGCCCTGTCTATTACGGGACCTCATCTTTTACACTGGACTGGGAGAACAGTCGTGATTCCGAAGCATGGAAGAACTCGTACTGCGTCGGCGGCGGCGGCGGCGGCGCCAAGCGGTCAGGCGCCAGATCATCAGATCACGAGAGGAAGAAAGGAGTCCCCTGGACCGAAGATGAACACAAGTAAGCTCGCTCATGTGAATCTGCTCCTCTATACCTTGTTCATCTCAAGGACACAACTTGTTCGACTTAATGCTCTTGTTATCATCTTCATGTATCTGCATCCTTTCCCACCTCAGGCTATCTAAAGGTAACAGTAGCCTTTGCACCATTTAGCTTAGACACGAGAACTGTTGGATCACATTAGGATTCCATGGTTCTTTTCCTTTTTCTCTCTCTTATACTAGCAGTGCAATGATGGTATAGCTTATCGAATCGAGATACTTGTGGGCTATTGTCAAGTTCATGCCTATCATTTTACAGGTTATTTTTGCTGGGCTTGAGAAAGTATGGCAAAGGAGACTGGAGAAACATATCTCGGAATTTTGTGATCACAAGGACCCCTACGCAGGTGGCTAGCCATGCACAGAAGTACTTCATCAGGCTCAACTCTGGCAGCAAGGATAAGAGAAGGTCCAGCATACATGACATCACTTCTGTCGATTTCCCTGATAACAGACCTCCCTCGCCATCATCTCAGCCATCCACCATCACCACGCAGTCGAGCTTGGCCTTGACACCTTCACTGTCAGGCCAGTTCTCCGCGATCGCCGATCCAGATCAGCTGGGTGAGGTAGCTAGTGGCTTCAGTCCATCATCGCATGGCCATCGCTTCATGCAATGTCAGTTCGGAACGAATCCGTTCGGGATGAATCTACTTGCTCAGAATCCAGAGACTGGCAAGTGCGATCAAGTTAACCTCGGCATCCTCTAAACAGATGTTTCCCGTTGGTTCTTCCGAGGAGAGGACTGGATCAATCCGGGTCGAAAGGGAAATCCAGATTGCTCAAATGCTGCTAAAGGTGGACGAGAGAGTATCCAATCTTTCCTACTGCCACCTCATGTAGTGTGTCGTAGTTGAAGCTTACAATTCTTTCTTCTCTGTAAATTATGGCATAACTGTATGGAACCACTCTGGGGTGTGACTTTGGCAACGCTATGGCACATCACAAGGCTGATAAAATGTTATTGTTTGGCTTTTCTGGTTTTCTGATTTGTTTCTGTGCATGTTGATTGGAGGCAAGAATACTTTTAAGACTGTCCTGCTCGGTTGCATACTAAATCATCCAATTGCTGCAATCTGTTTGCATCGCAACTCTGCAATGGCCATGACTCCTTTGCTGCTCACATTTGTATTTTGAGTATTCAACAAAGAAGACAACTGCTCTACTGGTTCTGAATTGTTCATCTTCTTTCTGCTCACCTATTTCCTTGCCATTCTTGAGAGTTAATCCGATGTATATCGAAACAACACTCTACGCAACCTAATTCATATTTCGGTATACTTTAGTTAGAGCAATGAAAGCTACATACGTTAATTAATAAAAGAAGATTAGTATATCCACATAAATACATGTTAAGTAGATAACCAAAGGTAATTAACCTCCCTACTAAGATCAGATTTTGTGTGGTTGTGAGGTATGTCGATGGCTTGCTGCTTGTTATTTCATGGTTGGAAACCCTGCATCAGAGCTCTTCTCACCTTTCACGGTGTTGCGACTTTGTCCAATATAGAGGAAAACATAGTGAGTAATTGGCCATTCCCTCATTTTGCTGGTTGTGGAGGGTTATGCAATAATGGCAAATGCTAATTGCTATCCTCCATTTGGTTCAAAGCTTTGAAGTGGATGCTTGCCCTACCATCGTTCCTGGCAATTTCTTTCCTTTGTTATAGCTGCCATTGTTGTTGCTTGGTGGTGATTATTCGCACAGCGAGTGCAACTTCCAGCATGCAAATGTGGTGCCTGTACAAGTCACCTGCAGTGGGTAACATCCAAGCTTTCTTCTGGGGAGATGCTGCAGATTCCTTTTCCCACAAAGTTGAGTAAGAGAAGGGTGATGTTTCACGCAATTCCAGTTTTGAAGTCTGCATCCTTCAGCATGCAAACATGGTGCACACACACAGATGCTGCAAACTTCTTTGTCTGCAAGTTGTGCAGGAGAAGGCATCTGTCATACGTAA